GTCGGGGCGGACGGGGCGGGGCCGCAGCGACAGGCGGACGCAGCTCCCTCCCGGCTCGGGCTGGAAAGCGGGCGGAAGCGCTCGCACCACAACCCCGCCCCAGTCGCGGGGCGACGCCCGGGGGGCGTGAAGGAGCCTCAGGCGGCGGGGAGGTGGGGCCGAACGACGGCCGGGCTGCGGCAGACGCGGTATGGTGCGAGCGCAGGAAGGTGCCGCTGCCGCGCACTAACAACGAGCCGGGACCCAGTGCCAGAGGCTGCGGACCCTCGCTCCTCCCGGGAGAGGCTGCGGCCTCCTGTCCCCAGGGACGCGAAGGGTGTCCCTTTCCCGGGGCCGCCTCCTCACTACCGCTCACTCATCGCCTTCCCGCCCCGCATTCTCTACTCTCAGGACCCTCGTTTCCGATCCCTGCGGGGTTTGCTTGTCCTTGCTCTTCTTTTCCAGGCCAACTCTGCGACCCGCTGTAGCCGGGGACTCGCTGAGCCTTCCCTGCCGGCCAGGTCCCCGCACTGCACAGCTTCTCTAACTGCCACGTGCTGAGCTACTTGCTCAGGTGTCTGGGGTCATGGCCACTAACCCGAGTTCTGTGCCTGGAGATCATTAAGGATCAATAAACAGGCATCTTCCAGCAACTTTGGAAACTTGTCAGTAGTTAGACAATTCAATCCTATTAACCAAGAATTTTTTTTTTTGCCTTTTAACCAATTTTAATTAAATTAACCAAGAATGTTACTGGATGAAAACTTTCAATGGCTCCCATTACTTCACATAGGTTCTCAAACCTAGGCGAGGGAGTCACCAGGAGGGGTTGGAGAAGCCGGATTGCTGACCCCACCGCCAGAGTTTCTGATTCGGCAGGTCCCGGACAGGCCCAAGAGTCTGTATCTAACAAGTCCTCGAAGGCGCTAACATTGCTGTTACAGGGGGCGCACTTTGAGACCAGAGCCTCACAGGCCTCATAGTTAGGCTTCCGAACATCCCCGAATCAGCTCCCGATTCCTGCTTTGCACACAGTACCAGATTTAACCCCCCTATAGCCCAGGAGTGATATTATCCTTACTAGTGGCCCAGTGCACAAAATGTATGCACATTAAAAGGGAATTAATTAGAGGAAATATTTTAACATTGCTATTTGTCCTTTCTCTATAATAGAAGTGTCAGAGATGAAAGAAAATCAGTAAAATGTATATGAAAATCTCCCTCCTGTCAGAGTCTGGGGTGCGCCGCAGGACCCAGAGTCAAGCCCCCACCCACCCTTGTGCTCCTCAAAATCGCTTGAGACCCAGACCCGGCTGGCCCCACCCCTGTCAAGCCCCGCAGGGCAGAGGGGCACAGCCTCAGATCCCCCAGCTGAGGGCGTGACGACCATTTGCATATTAGCTCTTTATTATATAGGACTAGAGGCCTGATGCATGAAATTCATGCAAGAGTAGGCTTTCCTTCCCCCAGCTGCCAGCACTGGCTTCCCTCTGGTACCCGGTACCCAGGCTTCCCTCCTGCCACTGGCAGGCACCTGAGACCTGGGCTTCCCTTGCAGCCCTGGCTTTGTCCGGAAGGTCGTCTGGAAGGACGTCCGGTCTAATTGGCATATTACACTTTTATTATTATAGATTTTAGAGATGGGGAAACCAAAGTACTGAAAGATAAGGGATGTCTCTAAATTCCCTAAAGTTATATCCTGGAAGTGGGGCAGGTCAACCTATTCCCAAAAATCAAAGTGTGTGATTCAGCCAAGTGAGTTTTATACCCCGAAGACATTTAGCACTCTCCTGCCTCCCAACAGTTTGGTTTCCAAGATTTTCAACTGTCCCTTGTGAGGCTAAAATACATTCAAGGACTCCTGGAATCCATTGGGAAAATCATAGTAATCAGAGTGTTCCTCTGAACTTCATAGTGCTTTTAACTGATTTTGCTCCATAATCTATCAGCAGCAATGGCATTATCTATGAGTGTAAATTAAATAATTTACTTAGAGAGCTAGACTAGTGCACATGTGAACCTTCGGACCATATTACTAGTAATAGTATTTTAGTAGTGTTTATTATTCGTGATAGATAACATGTATTGGGTCCAGACAGTGTGCTGAGTCCTTTACATCCATTCTTTTATTATTCACATTAACCCCAAATAGTAGGTACTCTTATTTTCTCCACTTTCCCCATTAGGAAACCAATGTCTAAAAAAGTTAAATGACTTGATTGGTGTGCATGGCTGAAGCCCATGCGTAAACACCAGACCCCCGCCCCCACAGGACCACAGACAGCTCAACTCTAAACTCATGACATAGAGGCTTGCCTCAGACCACTCCCTTCTTCTTGGCCCAGCCAAATTTTCTCTGTTACCTCAAGCTCAACTCAGAAACCATCTCTTCCTCCTCCTCCCAATCTTTCTCCAAGTCGCTCCTACGCTGCTATTTCCCCCATCTCACCGCTGTGACCCACTTCCAATTCAGTGCCTGTTGTTGGAGTACCTACCCAGTGCAAGGCACTGGCTTAGCCATTTTTCAAGATGCAAGGAAGATTAAAACCCTCACAGCTTACAATCCAATAATGGGCATAAGATTGTTTCATAAATAGCTATAGCTAATGGCAGAACATCATAAATTCTGGCTAAACAAAAAGTGGTCCAATGGAAAGTATGCTGGATTTAGGGCAAAAATGAACTCGATTTGAACCTAGTTCTAAAACCAGTTGTGCGCCCTTGCACATGTTGCCTAACTTCTGAGGCGTTTCCTTTTCAGTGTGCTAGATGAAGACTACGGGTAAGGAGGGCAGGGAAGAGGCAGTCTCAAGAGCACAGGCAGAATAACCAGGCCTGGAGACAGGGATAGGAAAATTCTTGTGCCAGTAGACTCTCTGAAGACTTGGATTCTGATGGGATGCCAGAGACAGTGGACACGAGGAGGTAAAAACGCTGTGGGTGGGAGCCTTGTTCACATTTGGGAGGAGGCTGTTATGAACACAGAAAAGGATGGTAGAGTGTGCCCTGCCCAGCCTACAGCTCTGCTCCAGCTTCACAGACAGAGGCCAAGTTCTCAGTCAAGCAGGTATTAGCTCAGGCTGCATACTAAATACCACAGGCTGGGTGGCTTAAGTAACAGAAATTATTTCCCCACAGTTCCGGAGGCTGGAAGTCCAAGGCCAAGGTTCCACATGATTTGGTTTCTGGTGAGAGCTCTCTTCCTGGCTTGCAGATGGCTGCCTTCTCGCTGTCTTCACATGGGCTCTCCTGACTGTTAGCACACAGAGAGAAACCAGTTCTCCGGTGTCTTATCTAATAAGGCCCAACCTTTTGACCTTATGAATTTAAACTTAATTATGTCCTCACAGGCCCCATCTCCAAACAGCCACACTGGAGCTTAGGGTGTCAGCATATAGGGACACAAATATTGAGTCCATAACTAGCATTCACAGCATGGATGCCATGGGGCGGGCTGTGGTCATGGCCCTGGTCCTCAAGGGTCTATTTGAGAACCCAAAATAAACCCCCCTAAAAGATAATCAAGACAATAATTTGGAAAAACAAATACTAATTTTAGGCTGGAGGAAAAAACATTTGGCCGCTCGCATAGACAAAGAATGAGAGGCTGAAAGAATGAGGAAACTGGCCACCCTGGGCCGGAGGGCTCGGTTAGGAAAACCCAGGAGACAAAGCTAGATGGTTTAGGTGAGACTAGAAGAAAAACTGAGGCATGGGCAATATGGGGTCTAAAAACGGAACCCAGATTATCAATCAAGTCGAGCTCCAGTGGCAGGTGAGAGCTCAGTGGACCAAGGGATTTAAGTGTGCCTCTTCCCAGGGTAAATCAGCTTACACCCATTACAGAAATTCCAGGAGAGCTGAGCTATGCAAGAGGTCAAAATTGACAACCCCCGTACATCATTTTACTTATTTCCTAGTTTTTTCTTTATTGTTAAAATAGTGATGGAAATTTATTTTCAACCTCAGAATGGGGCAGCAGAGCTGTGAAACAGCCTGAATATAAGTTAAGGGCTCAGGGTCATAGAAGAATTAGGTCAACTGGAAATAAATAATGGAAATCATGGTGAGCAAGCAGAATTGGGTCAAACAAAGGAAACAATGGTAAGATGTGTGCAGGAAAAGCTCAGAAAGGGAAGACCATAGGCTTACGGGTCAGAGGTCAAGTTCTTAATCTCTATTGCACAAAGTATTGAGCAAATGTTCACCCTCTCTGCCCCTCTGTTTTCTAATATGTGATATTAAGAGTTTGGATGGACATGATT